TATATTTTTATGTTAAGTAAAAAAAAAATGTTATCTATTTAAATTACAAAAATGCCATTAAACACTAATGAAACTTATATGCAAATTATATATATATTTTTTAAGAAAATATTTTTTATTGACATATAAAGTTAGGCTATTTTTTTAAAAAAATAATGATGAATAATTATTATGTTTTGTATTTGATAAAATTAAGAGCAAATCCTTGTTGACATTTTTATTTTTGATGGAAAAAGCGACAAAATAAATTTGGAAGGTCGTCTGGAGAGGAAATAATTAATATACAATTTCATATCATTTAGGGTTGTAGATGAAAGTAATGACGGATTACCAAAGCAGTGTACAAAACACATTACGTCCTGATAAAGATGAGGCATATGCCTATGCTTTGGGATTCTGGTAAAAGAAGAACGCAAAATGATATTTCTGTCAATGTCAGCATTGGTAGCCCCCTCTAAAATAGAATCATGAACGACAATGTTAACTCAACCATAAAAAGGTAGTAAGAATTGTTATAAAGGCCACGACAGAACTACTGCATATTTTTCCATTAATAAAGTTGATGAAAAGGGCTGTACTGCACATTCAAGTTTGAACATTCCTCTAAATAATCATGAAAGTTTCTCAGAGAATAGTATAAAGTAATATTTATAACTCCTAGTAAAGTGAATGATAGTACGGAATTGAATGATTATATTTGTTAAAAAATAGGCAGAGGTGGCATAGGGATTGTGGTAGTGATGATAGAAATATCATTTGGAGGCAACTGGGTGAAAATAAAATAAACATATAAATATAAAACATAAGATAAAAAAAAAGCAAAATAAACCTCCAGAGGAGTTAATTTAGGGTAGTTCTTTATTATTTTGGCTACCAGTAACTCTAGAATGGGCAAGGTTCGTCATTATTTTCTTTGCTTATCTTTAATAGATTCATCATGTTTTGTAGCAATGTGAGGGATTAACGTTGGGTTAGCCTAGACAAATAAAGAAATCAGGCAAAAATATAAATAAACATTATTATTGAAATAAAGCGAACATTAAAATACTGTAAACCAGTAGATGGGTCAATATTAGATGCATATATCAATGAGTTGGAGGAATATCATCAAAAAAGAATTTTTTTTTTTGGGGGGGGGGACTTGTCAAGCCTATTATGATATTCTAAAGGTTTATTTTGCATTTGTTTATTATTAAAGGCTGATATATCAATATTTGAACAATTATAAAGAGGAATTAAGATGGGGATAGTTTTCCAAAGTAAAAAAAAAATAATTCTCAAGTTAATTTTATAAGGTAGGAATAAAAAATACCATTCGGGGAGATCAATTGGCAAACTTAAAAAAAAAATAGGATCCTTGTGAATAAGTATAGAATAATTTAAATAATATATAAATACCATAATATGTATTTTTTTTGGAATAAATATAAAATCATAAAAATAGAAAAATAGAAAACCCCGTTTAGTATTTTTTATTGAAAGAATAAAGAGGAGTATTGTTAAAAAAGGTAGGAACCTTAAGAATAAATATATAATTTTAATTGAATAAAAATAAATATTGTAATTTATAATAATTTTTAAGAATAGATATAAAATTATATATAAAAAAAATAATAATAAAAATAATGTATTGTCACAATGAGGAGATTTGTCATTGTGAATCAAAACCTAAATATAAAAAGAAATTAATAATAATTAGGAATGTTGAAAGTAAGGCTTTTGAAACCTAAAATAAAAAAAGAAAACAAATATATATATATAAAAAGAAATTAATAATAATTAGGAATCACGAAATCATGAAATCAATTTCATCCTTTATTCAAAATTATAACATTATCAAATTAACAAAATTATAAAAGTAAAAATAATAAAAAAAAGAAAAATAAAAATAAAATACAAAAAAGTTAATAATTAAAAAAGATCCCCTTGTCTGGTAAAATATGGCCTTTTTATACTCTTAACTAATATTCATAACTATTCAAATATCATATTTTTATCACGCGTTATAATAATAAATCCAAAGGAATTCTTTATGCAAATTAAATATAAAGTACAACAAAATCCAAAAGAATTCTTTATGCAAATTAAATCTAACATTTACAACACTATGTATATTTTTTTTAACATTATACAAAATAATCAGCAGGAATAATAGAGCCATAGTGGATCCGACAAAATGGTAAGCTTTTAAAAAAGTAGGATCCTTAAAATTATATTAATTTAGTTAAATTTTTAAAATGTACTTTGTATAATTTTCAGTTAGACAAAATATTCATCAGAGATAAAAGGGATGTGCGGCCCGACAAAATGGATAGCCTTAAAAATACGTAGGATACTTAAAATAATATAAATTTATTTAAATTATAAAAAATATTCGATTTTTAGGAATAGATATAAAATAATATATAAAATTATTTATAATGAAAATAATGTACTATGTTTATTTTTTTTGTGCGTTATACAAAATAATCAGCAGGGATAATAGAGCAATGGTGGATCCGACAAAATGGTATACTTTAAAAAAGTAGGATCCTTAAAAATTGTTATGTTAATTTAGTTAAATATTAGAAATGTACTTTGTATATTATCCAGTTAGTTAGACAAGATATTCCTCAGGGCATATTGTGCGGCCCGAGAAAATGGATAGCCTTAAAAATACGTGGGATGCTTAAAATAATATAAATTTATTTAAATTGGAATAGATATAAAATCATATATAAAATTATTTATAATAAAAATAATGTGCTATGTATATTTTTTTGTGCGTTATACAAAATAATCAGCAGGGATAATAGAGCAATGATGGATCCGACAAAATGGTAAGCTTTTAAAAAAGTAGGATCCTTAAAAATTGTTATATTAATTTAGTTAAATTTTAAAAATGTACTTTGTATAATTTTCAGTTAGACAAAATATTCATCAGAGATAAAAAGGCATATAGTGCCCGACAAAAGGATGCTTAAATAATATAAAATTGTTTAAATTATAAAATAATACCATAATAAGTAATGTTCACTCTTATTCGTATAAACCGGGATTAATCGGGTATAACCTCACGATATACCACATTGGTTGCAGTTCTTGTTTTATCATTGGTTATAATCTTTAGGGGAAATCTCTGATTTACCAATTAGTCTACAGGTAAAAGATATTTCTTTATAAAAATATTAACATAAGACTAACATTTAACTCAATATAGGTTCAAGCCTACAATATTTGGAAAAAATTTCCAAGCATTCAAGATCTCAATAATTTAAAAAGATTTTCTCAAGCCCACCTCAATCCCTAATAATTTTGAAAACCAAGCCAATATTAATTTTGAGAAATATTTTTAAGCCCAGTCCAACCCATAATAATTTTGAAACCAAGCCCAGAGATATTAAATTTATAATTAATGAAGGGGAAATCTCTGATTTACCAATTAGTCTACGGGTAAAATATATTTCTTTATAAAAATATTAACATAAGACTAACATTTAACATTAAAAAATCCCAATATAGGTACAAGCAAGTGGCGTAGCTAGGAATTTTTCTTAGAGGGGGTCCATACATATAAAATCCTGGGGGCATCGCCCCCAGACACCCTTTAACGGGCCTTCGGCCGGGTTCATCTTAAAAATCATAACCACATCTTCGACAATATATAATAAATAAATGCATGAATAATATGTTATTATAATTTAGTAAATTATTTTCAATGACTTTATAATAATACTACCCAGAATAATTTCAATAGTAATGTAATATCCTTCCACAAACATCAAAACCAGAAAAATATAAATATTAATGGTATTTATTTGATATATAAGTCTTTTGAACGTATAATCTAAAAAAAAATTTGCTCTGGGAGGGGTCCAAACCCGAAACCCCCCCCCCCCCCCATAGCTACGCCACTGATTAAAGCCTACAATATTTGGAAAAAATTTCCAAGCATCCAAGATCTTAAAAATTTAAAGATTTTCTCAAGCACATTTCAATCCCTAATAATTTTTGAAAACCAAGCCAATTTTAACTTTGAGAAATATTTTTTACGCCCAGTCCAACCCATAATAATTTTGAAAAAATTTTCCCAAGCCTAGAGATATTAAATTTATAATTAATGAATGAGAAATCTCTGATTTACAAATTAATCTATAAGTTAACTTAGTTAAATTGAATTTCTATATAAAATATTAATAATTTGTAATATTTAGTAAATAATTTATTACTTTGATAATCGGTTTTAATATGGCCTCCTACAGTTGCATTAATTTTGAAAAAAATTTCCCAAGCCTAGAGATATTAAATTTATAATTAATGTATGAGAAATCTCTGATTTACCAATTAATCTATGAGTTAATTCCTATTTGAATTTCTATATAAAATATTAATAATTTGTAATAAATGTATTACTTTGACAATTGGTTTTAATATGGCCTCTTACAGTTGCATTAATTTTGAAAAAAATTTCCCAAGCCTAGAGATATTAAATTTATAATTAATGAATGAGAAATCTCTGGTTTACCAATTAATCTATGAGTTAACTCCTAGTTGTTTTGATAAAAAAAATGATTTTGTTTCGTGTATTTTCTAAAAAATGAAACTTAAAGGAGAGGCTATGGAGTGCACCATTACTTTGAGCGGAAGCTAGCTCCTTTTAAAAATGTAGTAGCGGGACTAGCTCTTTTTAGAGAAGGTAATATCTTATATTTATGTAAAGATTAATAATATTTTTGAAACTATAATCTTAAGTAGTTTTAAACATTAAAAAATTTTATTTGAAAAAAGAAATGAAATATTAAGTCATCGGCAAAATTGTAAATAACTTTATTAAAATATAATATAAAAACTATAAATATATATTTGAATATAAAGTTTTAAAGGATGAATCAAAAATCGAAATAAAAATTTATTAAAATAAGTATCGTAATAATATCCAATAATTTTAATAATACATATTTAAAAAATATTATATTATCACATACCAGGCATGGATTAGCACATATAAAATGTCACAAATACATACATTTATTATGTCTGCATTATTTGCCTGTGCTAATTGTAGTGAAAGATTTATATTTGAAGAATTATCTGATAACGAGCATCTTTGTAAAGTATAATATAATTCTTTTTGTAACATAATAATATTTAAATTTTATTTATAGAATTGTCAGAAATTGAAATCTAATTGTTCATATTGTAGAAGTGAGTTTCAATTAGAATCGTAAACAATATTTTGAATTCCTGCTTTACTTAATTTTTTTTAGTAAACATAGCAAAGAAAGTATATGTAAAAAATGTGCACATTATGTTGAAAAATATGGAGTGGTAATATATATTTTTATAAATATTTGTTAGAAATTTATATTTTCTACTTTTTTTGTAATATTATTAGTGATTTTTTATATACTAGTTATGGTTAATGTTAAATGCTTTATTTAATATATGTTTATTATTGTAGCCTTAAATATAATGTCAAGCTTGTTTTTATATATAAATAAGCATATTTATTTATTTTTTTTAAATTATTAAAATAAAAGTTTTAGATAAAAAAAAATAAAATAATTTGTTACATGTTAAGGCTATTTAATAATAAATTATTTCAAATAATTAGCTATTAAATTATTTTTTTTGTTTAAAATATTTTTTTTAATACGATTGTAAATATTATTTTTTTAAATATTTATTAAGCCTTCAGCATGCAAATATTGTAAGTTGATTGCTGCCTTTTTGGGCTCAAAGTGTGAAAGATGTTATGTCCGTGAAAAGAAATTTGGTGCCCCCAAACTTTGCGAGCAATGCCAACAAAAATCTGCCTTTCCCAAATCAGATAAATTAGTTTGATTATAATTGACTATAAAATTATCAAAGCAAGAATTTGCTGTATGGGGGGGGGGGGGGAGGTGGATAATTAAATTTTTTTAAGATAAAAGTATTGTTATTTAAAAATATCAAGCATAAATTTATTAGGATTAATAACTATTTCTAATATACAATTTTAAATTATGTTAATTATAAAAAATTAAATATATGAACTGGCATATAAATTACTATAAAATAAATGTGAATTAAAAAATATTAAACAGATATAGTCGGTTACTTAAAAAAAACTATAAAATAAATGTGAATTATAAAATACTAAGTGGATATAACCAGCATAATAAAATAAATGACTCAAAATAGAAATTTAAATTTTTTGAGCCTTTAAAATTTATATATAAAGTATAAAAAATTTAAATGTTGGAAATATAAATTTACACAAGTTTTTTAGGAATAATTGTATTTTTTTATGTAAACTAATTAAGTATTCATGAAAAAATATAATTTTAACTTTCGATTAGCACATAAAGTTTGTGTATATTGAAAATTGAGGGGTGGAATATAAATCTATTATTAAATAAAATATTTATCATTGGTATCTTTAATACCTTATTAAGGAGTATATGTCTTTCTTTTAGGTTAATTATAAAATGTTATAAAATTATTTGTACTTTTTTGCTTTTTGTAAGATGACTAGGATTTTCATCATCATCAGTATGTTTAAAAAAATTTCTTATATCCTTAATTATATGCCACTAGGAATTTGAAAGCAATAGATAAATATTTTGCCAAGGAAAACTTAAAATTGAAATTAATTGATAAAATAACTTCATAAATGAATGTGATTAATTTAATATATATTTAAAAAGAAAGAGACATGAATAAATATAAAAATAAATTAATATAAACAATATTTTTGGGAAATATCTGGCATCTGCATTTTTTGGCTTGGAGGGATGGATTTGTCCCCCTGCCCCTCCCCCCCCACTGCTGTGTGTGTGCCAGTGTATTGTAGCTGTATGATCTTCATTGAGACATTTTTCATTATATTTTTGATTTTATTGCCTTTCCTATTAATTATAACCTTTATAGAGATTTATCCTTCCTTATTTCTTTTCAATACAATTTCTAATATAACCACATCATAATAACATTTTATTAAATAACTATGTCTTTAAATAAAAAACACCTATATATTAGTTGGAAAATAAAAGTATGTGCTGGCTTTGTGCTCGGTCCTATAAGAAACTCATCCTTACCTCTTCTATACCTCGAAAAAAACAAGCACATGAACATCATATACATAAGCACAAAATCAAGAAATTGAAACAATCGCTAACCCAACAAAATCAAAATCATACCTCCATCAACACCTCATCTCAAATACAAAATAATGCAAAGTTTTACAAAAATATTTTATGTTTCTTTAAAATCTCTTCATATTGTAGTAAATCGTTCCTTGCAATCCTTATAAAAGTTTATGTTCTTATTTAAAATTTCATTTCTATTTTGAGAGAAAAACTATCTTGATGATGGGCAATGTGCCTGAAAGATTACTATCAAAACTTTATTATTTTAAAATTTTAAAAATATCCAATCGAGATTCTATATATTATTATAATGGTTTAAATCTTATTTATATGTTTTTTTAAACTGATATTTAGCACTGAAAATGAAAACACAGATCAAAAGTCACAAAAATCTCCCACCAAAAAACCTTCAAAAGATAATCTGTCTCTTAGGTTTTTAGTTTTTTTCTCTTAAAAAAATGATTCTAAAATAAAAGTAAAAAATAAACTGTTTTTACGCCTATTTTTGTGAAATCTGAAATTTTCATAATTTGCTTTAAATTTTTTTAGGGTAGTGCTGATCCGATACACAAATTCACTGATCTGATCCTATAATCACCCAAAACCGATCCAATACATATCACTTACATTGATTTTTTCTATACAAATATAATAAGAAATCGACGTTTTTCTATATAAAAATAATGACTAACTCGCTTTCAAATATTCTCTCATCTCATGAACAAGGTGGTATTTTATGCATTATCACAAGTTGTTAAGTATATTTTGTTTCATCTTATTCCCTAAAAATTAATAGTCTTATTTTAAATATGGATAACGTTTACGTCTAAATATTGTCTCGTTAAATATTTATATATTATGAATTTAGTGTTTTTTTAAATTATTCATTTTATTTTATGTAATTACAAATAGGTATGTAATGTTCCATTAGGAAAAGAAAAAATAAAAATTTATCACAAAATTTCCTGAAGATTTTTTTAAATATTTTACAACGTTACTTCTTATCGAGTAATTGTGCAATTTTATTTTCACTAAAAAAAATTGATTTGTAGTAATAATTTAAATAATTATTTAGTACTCTTGCCAAAAAAACGCTATTTCGAATGATCGCTAGGACATCGGTATTCATAAATGATATATGACAGAAATGATGCTACGAATAAACAATGGTAATATTGGAACGGTTTTGATTTATAGATGGGAAATACCGGACTCGATCCGATATTTAATATCGGCACAGCCCTAATGCTTTTTTTAAAAACACCCTGTAAAGTTAAAAGAAAACCCTTTATTATAAATCAAGTTTATCGCGTGATATATTATTTATTTTGAAATTGATAATCTCGATTTTTATTATTTTTTAAAAAAAAATTTGTTAAGTCCTGTAGAATTAAAAAATTCTGATCACTTTGTCATGGTGAATAAGCTACAAGAAGAGATCGATCTCCTCAAGAAGATTATTCAAGAAAAGGATAGGCTTCTGTTAGATAAAGACAAAAAGGTTTGATTTTTTTTGCTTATAATTATCAAATCGTTTTTATTGGTCAGAAGAAATTCGTTGCAATCACCTGATTTATCTGAATTTCTATTTAGTGTTATCTTACAAATTTAACCCTTAAATATGATATCTTGTAATAAGTTAAAAATCTTAATTTTTAGATATCTCTTTGCCCAATCTATTTTTTTAAATATTATTTGTTTTTCGTCCCCATTATTTTTACATCAATATCATTGATATATGCCTTTTTTTAATTTTTTTTAAAAGCCTATTTAAGGTAAAAATAAGCCAAATGTTTCCCAAATCATATTATTTTTGGACTTTCACATTTCATATTTTTGTTTACACTCTTATATCTCATTACCGTAAATGTATTGGTTCTAAATATTGTGTTATTAATTAAATTTTCTTAACAATGATGAGATTTAGGGGATATAATTGTTAATTTAAGAGTTTGCAAAAATTTTTGATCTGCAGATTTTTTTACAAACAAATTTTTTTGATTAGATTTTACCTAAAATTCTAATTAAAAAAAAGAAGAAATTTGCAAAATTTTTATACCTGATTGAATCGAGATATTTCTCGAATTTTTATAAAATCATGTTATGATGTGTTTCTTTTTTAAAATCCGATTTTCAGTTCATATTCTTTTTTATTGGTTTAAATCTGTTCAATTCAGATCAAGCCATTTTTCGATATATATATAAATTTAAAAAATATTTATATAAAGCAAGACTTAAAAACATGTAAGGTTATCAATTAATATCTCAAGCTCGCTTATCATTTTATGATTTACATTATTTTTCGACGCGATTAAATTTTCTAATCTATTTTTGATGTAATTGTCAAGCAAAAAACCAACTTTAGATAACCTTAAAAATTAAAAAAAATCTTCTTTCGTTTTATAGATGGGCTCGATCAAGGCCATGAATTTTGGAAGCGAAAATGATTATAGGGTCAAAATTCAAAATTTACAAAAAGAACACAGTGAATCTATCACGTTATTACAAGTATATCGTTTACTACATATATATATATAATCGGTTGAGTATTATAGTATTCTAAATCCATTTTTTTAAATTTTTCTGGGAGTGCAGGAAGACGATTTAAAAAGAAGTATTTTTTATATTTTAGATTAGAGATCACAATGTAATATCACGAATAAAGAATTCATTTCTAAATTATATTTTAACATTTTTATTGTGGATATATATAAAGAATATGGTATTGAAAGAATTTATTTAGATAGCAAAAAATATGGATATAGAACACTAAAATACTGAACCTACGATATTTTGAATTGGGATATAGAATACAGAGAGTGGTCTTTCAATTTTGAATCATTTAACTGAGAGCGATTATCAAAGTTTTTTTTAAAAAAAAAATTGATTTGCAAAATTTGTGTCCTAAATTAACAGTTGCTAGTCTTATTAAAAAGCCATAATTTGGGTTTTTAAAAATCGTCCGATTAAAATTGTAGCCAACATAATATTATGTAAGTCTGGAGATTTTGCTTATGGATGACTGAAAAGGCTTGGATAACAGAGCGGGGTACCATGTTATAAATCAATAACGGTGGTGTTGTATGGACAAAAAAATATGTTTTATTTATTATAAATATATCTAAAACCTAAAGTGATACTAAAAATATATAAAATAAGGTATATATATATATGTCGTATTGGGATATGGAATCATGTGGGATTCGGAATCCCAACGTGGGGATTCGAGATCTTGAATCCCCACGTTTTTTTTGGAATCTTTTTTTTAAATTAAAAAAATATTTAAATATTCCGAATCCCCATCGAATATTTTTTTTAAAAATTATTAAATTATATTTTTTATTAAAGATTTTAGCTTTATATAAAAATTTTAATATTTGGAGAATTTCTTAAGAATTTAATAAAATCTTTCTTTTTTTTCTTTCTTATTTCTTTAAGTGATCTTTCTTTTCTTTCTTTCATTACTTTCCAACTCTAAAGTTTGACTAAAAAAAGGCCGTTTAAATCTTCTGTACTTTCTCACTCTTAAACATTTTTAAAAGATTAATTATAAAATTGAAAAGATATAATAGAAAAGGAAAGAATTTTAAAATCCCCCCCCCCCTTTTTATAAAAAAAATACATATTCATAGCCAGCTAAAAATTATATATTTTATGTCTTTTTTTTTTATTTATTATTTTCATGAAATTGTATAAATATAAATTTTGGCCTTAACCCTTTAGGTTCCCTCATAAAATTAATATGATGCAACACGATATTTACTAATTTTTTTATTGATTCTAATATAATATAATATAAAACACACAAAAAAAGTTTTTTAAATTCAAAATGGCGGCTCTCCCTGGTGGTTTTAAATTCATATCATTGACACCTTATGGAAACTTTCAAAACAATTTCTATTTTTATTTAGACAGAGTGGTACGTTGCATGATTTGCACGACCACCTTGTTCTTCTGGGATTTAACTTTGTACTACAGAAGGTACACCTTCGTGAGGTTCCTGCCTGAGGTTGATGAGCTGAATTTTTTAGTCTAATTTCTGGAAGGATATAAGGTTTATTATTTTTTCTTTGCATTGATATATAATTATTATCATTATGAATATTATCATCCCTATTAACATTTTTACAGTATGCCAATTCGCTAGCAATTATTTGTCTTCGGAATTCTTTCGATGAGAGTTTATTATCTGTAAGAATATTGTATATTATGAATGAATTGATAATCGCCGCATCTATCAGCCAAAAGAATATTGGTAGCCACCATTTTCGACACTTTCGCGAAATTTCATATAAAGACTTTAAATGGTCGAAATGGTCAACAGACCCCATATATTTATTATACATCTTTATCATTATTGGACATTTTACGTCAAAAACTTCCCCTTTTTTATTTTTTCTCTTCACAGTATCCACTGATCTCGGATCAATATAATTGGACATTATAAATACGTCACGATTATCTCGCCATTTAATTATACTTATATTATTTTTGTCACTTCTCCAGTCAAACTCACCTCTTTTTAATTTTGTTTCCATATTCTTTATGGGCAAGTATCTCCTATTTTTGTTTAGTGTTCCGCTAGCATATATACCTTTCTTTTTTAAATCGGCCATTAGAGTATAACTCGTAAAATAATTATCGAAAAATATTTTATGATTTTGAAGTCCTTCACAAAACTTTGTTACAACATTATAACCAAGATTACTTTCAACCTCTTTATTTTTCCCAACATAGATATTAAAATCATTCATATATCCTGAATTATCGCATCTCATCCAAACCTAAAAATATAGTTTAGCCGAAATAAATAATGACAAAATTTACACATTACCTTGAAACCGCGTTTCGTGGGTTTCTTAGGCATGTATTGCCTAAATCCTATACGGCCTTTGAACCTAATCATTCCTTCGTCAATTGCTTGATATTCCGAGGGAAGAAAATATTTCAAGCAAGAGGAACGGATATTATCAATGAATGGTCTTATTTTGTATAATTTATCATAATTTTCATCATTTCTCGATGGTTCTAAGATATTGTCATTTATATGGATGTGGGCCATAAGCCAAATAAAACGTTTTACTTTCATTATGGATGAAACAAAATTGTCATGGAATTCTGGTTTAGAACTCCAATAATCTTTGTAATTTGCCATAGTTTTAATTCCAAAGAGTATATGAAGACATAAAAATTTTCTTATTTCTGTAGGATTAGTTGGTTGATATTTAATATTTTTTTGTTGGGCATATAAATTGGTATTGAATGTAATTGTATTTATTAGAGAATCATTAATAAATTTCTTATATATATCTGATGGATACAATGGGTCCGTTTTTAAAGATGATATTGGACCTGATATTTTATCAAATTCTAATGCTGGTTGTGAAGAATATTTCTTGGACCAGATAGGATTATTATGGTTTGTAGCAGATTGATCATACGCATCTTGTTCAGAATTGTCATCAATTTCAATTTGATAAGGTGTATCCGATTCATAATCATCACTATCAATTTGGTAACGTGTATCCGATTCATAATCATCTTCGGAATCAGTGGATGAGTTGTCTAACGAAGAACCTTCAGATGGAATGTCCAGATAATCATCCATATATATAACAAGCTAAAATTATTGCGAAATGAGTTGGCAAAATTTATCAATTATTTAAAAAAATAAATATTAAAAATATTGTTGTTAAGTGGCAGTGGTTAGTTTAATATACCACATTAAAAAGATCAAAATAATATATAAATATTATTTATTTGAGCAAAAATAAATATTAGAAAGATAGATAAAATAGTGAGGAATATATATATTTAAAAATATTTGATAAATATACTTACTTATAATTAAAATTGGAATTTTAAGAAAAATCACCGTAAAAAACGTATTTTGAAATAAAGGCGCGAAAAAAAAAATTAAAAAATAACTCCTCCACAAACATATGAAAAAGAATATCTTTTAATATATATTCGTGGTGGTTTCATTTTATATGATCAACTCCTTTAGAAGATATAAAGGTTAAAAGGTGGTTTTATATTTGCACTACCGCGATCGAAAGGGTTAACAAGTTAATACTAAAGAAAAATTTCCAAAATTTTGAAAAATTTGATTGATTTATAATTAAATAACTTTTATTTTATATATTTCGAGATATTTTATTTTCTTTTATTTTTTACATTTTCAAATTTATTTTCATTTTTCTAAAAATAAAATAATTATATATAATTTTAGTTTAAAATTTTTTTTAATGCCTAAAATTTTTTTACCTAAAACTGATAATGATTATAATATTTTTAAAACGATATTAAAAACTCCAAAATATAAATCTATTCTAAATATACCGGCAAAATTAAAATTTAAAGTTTTTTCTTATTTTTATTTAGAAAATGAGTCTTTATTTTGCAAATAAAAAACCCATTATTATCATATCCAATATTCAATCCATATTAAAAGTCCACCATAATGACAATAATCATCCCGGTGTCAACACAACAATTAAAAATATAGAATCCGTATATGCTTCAATCCTCAAAAATTCGTTATAAAATATATCCAAAATTGTCCAATCTGCTCTATAAAAAAAAATCTTCCAAAGGCGCCAGTTGGAAAACCTTTAGTAAGCCATTCCGTCTGGGGGCGGGTGGAAATAGATTTAATTGATATGTCATCTACACCAGATGGTATCTATAAATATATATTCCACCTTAAAGATCATTTGAGCAAGTTTACATGCGCTTGTGCTCTGCCGTCAAAAAAAGCGGAAGGAATTGTTGATATTTTAAGAAACTTATTTTATCAATTTGGGCCTCCAAAAATTTTGCAGAGTGACAATGGTAGAGAATTTAAGAGTAATTTATTATTTATAAATATCTAATTAATTATTATTCTTAGATAACTTAATTACAGAGATGATAAATACGGAGTTTCCATCCATAATGATTATTCATTCCAGGCCTAGGCACCCTGAGACAAACGGGCTCATGAGATAAAAAATAAGTAATCAATATAAAAAACAAAACCATCATCAGAACATGATGTTAAATCCATTTCATTTGAACTAGAGATTATTTCTTGGTTATCATTACGAGCATAAAATACCTCGTAAGGTGTGCTTTTAATGATTCTACTATAATTGTTATTTATTTTAGAAACAACTTTGGGTAGCTGGAGGGCCCAGTCAGTTTTTTTAGTTTCCAGCATATACGCAGATATGCGCGTTTCCAAGGTAGAATTTGCTCTTTCGATGAGCCCGTTTGTCACAGGGTGCCCAGGCCTGGAATGAATAATCATTATGGATGGAAACTCCGTATTTATCATCTCTGTTATTAAGTTATCTAAGAATAATAATTAATTAGATATTTATAAATAATAAATTACTCTTAAATTCTCTACCATTGTCACTCTGCAAAATTTTTGGAGGCCCAAATTGATAAAATAAGTTTCTTAAAATATCAACAATTCCTTCCGCTTTTTTTGACGGCAGAGCACAAGCGCATGTAAACTTGCTCAAATGATCTTTAAGGTGGAATATATATTTATAGATACCATCTGGTGTAGATGACATATCAATTAAATCTATTTCCACCCGCCCCCAGACGGAATGGCTTACTAAAGGTTTTCCAACTGGCGCCTTTGGATGATTTTTTTTTATAGAGCAGATTGGACAATTTTGGATATATTTTATAACGAATTTTTGAGGATTGAAGCATATACGGATTCTATATTTTTAATTGTTGTGTTGACACCGGGATGATTATTGTCATTATGGTGGACTTTTAATATGGATTGAATATTGGATATGATAATAATGGGTTTTTTATTTGCAAAATAAAGACTCATCTTCTAAATAAAAATAAGAAAAAACTTTAAATTTTAATTTTGCCGGTATATTTAGAATAGATTTATATTTTGGAGTTTTTAATATCGTTTTAAAAATATTATAATCATTATCAGTTTTAGGTAAAAAAATTTTAGGCATTAAAAAAAATTTTAAACTAAAATTTTATATAATTATTTTATTTTTAGAAAAATGAAAATAAATTTGAAAATGTAAAAAATAAAAGAAAATAAAATATCTCGAAATATATAAAATAAAAGTTATTTAATTATAAATCAATCAAATTTTTCAAAATTTTGGAAATTTTTTTTTAGTATTAACTTGTTAAGGCCAAAATTTATATTTATACAATTTCATGAAAATAATAAATAAAAAAAAAAGACATAAAATATATAATTTTTTAGCTGGCTATGAATATGTATTTTTTTTATAAAAAAGGGGGGGGGGGGATTTTAAAATTTTTTCCTTTTCTATTATATCTTTTCAATTTTATAATTAATCTTTTAAAAATGTTTAAGAGTGAGAAAGTACAGATTTAAACGGCCTTTTTTTAGTCAAACTTTAGAGTTAAAGGAAAATAATGAAAGTAAGAAAAGAAAGATCACTTAAAGTAATAAGAAAGAAAGAGAAGAAAGATTTTATTATATTCTTAAGAAATTCTCCAAATATTAAAATTTTTATATAAAGCTAAAATATTTAATAAAAAATATAATTTAATAATTTTAAAAAAAAATAATTTAAGTATTTTTTTTAATTTAAAAAAAGATTCCAAAAAGGGGATTCAAGATCTCGAATCCCCACGTTGGGATTCCGAATCCCACATGATTCCATATCCCAATACGACATATATATGTATTATAAAAAAACAATTTAAAAGAAATACATTGTTAAAGGCTAACATGTTTAAAATAAAAGCAATTTAAGTTAAACAAATTTAAAACGTCAATCTCGATTAACATTCCCCTTCTTTTGAAAAACCTTCCCATAATCCATCTGAGCTGTCATAGAAAGTTTGTCGTCCAAATGATTTATCATTTTGATTGTCAAGTTGTTGCATAAGTCGTCTTAATCGTTGGCTTGTTTAAATCGTAAGCTTGATATCCTTATATAAATCGTGATTTTGTCATGTAGCTTGCTTATAGTACTCAGTGGTTATTATTATCAATAATACATGGTTAAGGGCTATCATCTTTAAAATAAAATCAAAGTCAATCTCGATTAACATTCCCCTTCTGAAAAACCTTCCCATAATCCATCTGAGCTGTCATAGAAAGCTTGTCGTCCAAATGATTTATCATTTTGATTGTCAAGTTGTTACATTTGGGCTAAAAAATTTAATCTGGCCGTTTTTTAAAATCTACCTGAATCGGGCTTTTCAGCAAAATTAATGGAGTCTATGCACGCAAGAATGTATTTCTGATCAAATCAGATTTTAAAAATTTAAAGATCGTCTTAGTGCAGGATTTAATAATTGAGAGATTCCATATCATAATACGACATTTATATCTCTTTTTAAAAATGGGGCAATCAGTGAGATTTAAGACTGGTTTAAGTTGTAACCCTGATTAAATGATGAAAATCTTCAAATTTATACTTGTAGTTTTTTTTTTAAATTAAAATTTCAAGTTATTTATTCTTTTAAGATAATAATTTTTTTTACAATCCTAACTTAATTTAAATAATAACCTATTTCTTTGTCGGCGCGTATAACAGACCAAAAACAGGGATCTACAAAAACAAATATCGCAACTTACCATGGAAAACAATACGGTTAGCAAAATGATTAAAAAGAAAGTCACCGCCTTTCAAAAACAGGACAGCCCCTACATAAATAGCCCTGCTACAATTAGTCCCCTATTTTTGTAAATTATGAATAATTATCAATCAATTTATCGTTATTTATATCTAGAAGTTAAACGCGTCTATATCTTATGGTAAAAATAAGTACCATTTTATATACCCGAAGAATGTTGCTGAATTTGATTAATTCATTTTTTTAAATCATTCTTTCGTGGTGTTTTTTCTTTTTCCATTACACTGGAATTATCATAAATTATATTTTTAAAATTGGTATTATAAACAAAAACACTTATATAAAAACTTGATATATGCAAAATATGTTACAAAGATATCTCATATATTTTATTTCAATTTTTTAAAATTATTATATTTTCCCCATATGATTTTTTTTTCATCTTGTTATTATATATGCAATCCAAAACTAGTTTTTTTTTTAAATTAGAAAAATCTATAGAAAAAAAATTATATTATTTAAAATAAATATGATTTAAATTCTAGGATTATTAAAATAAAAATATAAAATTGTAAAAGCAATTTTGAATTTTTTTTTGAACATCTTATGATTTTTCGGGAAAGTCTGAGAAGTAAATTATAACTTGATTATTATATTGTTCTAACTTCAAACTCCACTTTTGCCAAAATTTTATCCTTAAAGGGAGCTGGTCTAATTTTAAATAAAATTTTTATAGCTATGGCGCATGATTGTTTTTTTAAAAATTGGATCAAAGCAACGAAGTTTGCATGATTAATCTGAAGGAATTTTTCAAATTTTAATTTATTCTTAAAAAATAAAACATTCTGTTTGGCGTTTTAATTAATTATCATTTCTCAAAAGTAGTCTGCCGAATATTTTCTTAAGACGCATTATTTGTCGCCCACTACCTCGGACGAGCCCGAAATTATATCATTATTAAATATATATTTTTATAGAGGATTTTGATCTAAAACAAATTTTAAGAATTTTGTGATATTTTTTTTTATTATTTCATTTTATTTTTTTTTTGAATTATTATAATTTATTGTAATATAAATATCTGAAAATAAATATATTTAAAATAATATACTAAAAAAATAAAATTAACATTTCTAAATAAAAAAAATATATATACCGCGTGTTTCTTGCATGTATTCTTATATTTTTGTAAAAAAATTAATTTTCCATTCATTAAACAAAAAAAAATTTGTCATAAGATTCTTCTGAATTTTCATTTTAGTTGATTTTTTAAATTTAAATTTTGCCATTTAGTTTAACAAGGAACACTTTTTTTGGAGAGTTTTTCGCTAATTTTGTTTTGAGTATTTTCTTGATAAATTTTATGTTGATATAACTTTGTTTTCAAATCTAAAAATAAATGAAAAATTATTGGATTTCTAAAATAATATATATAAAGTAGAGGTCTGCTAATGGTAAAATTTTCAGGTCCGGTTGGGATTTAATCCTGGTCCGGTTCCAATTTTTTTACGAAAGTTTCCCTGCCCGGTTTTATTAAAATCCGGAAATATCCCTATGGAAGCCAATAATGACGAGGATATAAGATTTTCTTATTAAAGCAACAAACACAAAATGAAGGTAAAGGAAATCGCATTTTTTGAATGAAATTTGTCTGTAATAAAAAAAAATTTCTATATAAACGCGTCGGACTCCATAAATTTTTTATTCTACCTATTTTTTTCAAGTCTAGTCCGATTAAAAAAATATGTCCACCCAATCGGCCATAATTTTAGAAGGTCCGATTCCAAAAATGGATTAATTATAGAGGTTATGAAATTCTTGTTTTTAAACCAAAATTCTAATGTTTGTTTTTTAAAAAAATAATGTATGGAAAAGAAGTAACATTTATGCAAAGACAATTGTAATTTAAATCTTATGTCCGCGTTTTCCCCAAGAAAATAAAACCTCGAATGCCATGCAGGGCAGACTACAAACTGAGTCTAATCTTTGTCAAAAAAATTTCCTGACACGTATATCAAGAATTTATCTGATGTCTTATAATACCGTATTAAGATAAGTTAAGTTTATATAATTTACCTTTTTTTAACAATCCACCTGATAACCCAAAATGTCCTTGAATATTTTGAAGCAGCCACCGCAATTGTAAATATGGCATTCAAAATATTCGTGTTTGGGACAAGTGACGTCTTTACAAATAGACACGTCGCATTCGTAAGGAGCTAAACCTATTGGGCAAAAGTTTCTTCTAGGATGGGTTATTTGACGAATTTTTTCAACCCCTTGTACTGTTTGTTATAATTTATTTAAGTATAACAAATTGTAAAATGATTATTTTTTTTAAATGATTTTGTAAAAATATTTAACCTTGAATAACATTTTTTTTGTAAGATCATATGTGTATATACCTATTTATATTCCATATCAAATATAAGCTCTCAAAATATAATTTTAAAATTGTGAGAACAAATTGTTATTAAACAGCTGTCTTCTCTTACCTTTTAAAACCGAAGAGGCCCATTTTTAAATTTGAAAACTCAAATAATTCTTAAAAGGGTAAGTTCAAAAAATAATCACTAGAAAATAAAGTCTACAAGATTATGATTTACAATCATAGTTTCCTAATTTCCAAAAAAACTTAAAGGAGTTTATCTAAAATTTCATGGTGCATGAGCCATCCACTAAAGATGCCAATGTTATTATATAATTGAACTTGCAAACTTTGATCAAGATTTATTTTAATTCATTTGTTAAAATTACTTTTTGTTACAGTTACATGCTGCATCATTAAAAAATAACTAGTTCCAGTTTACATTTTTTTTTCAAAAAATAAACGAATTAGAGCATCTATAAAATTTATAACCACTCATTAGTGATAAAAAAAAATATGTACCAGGTCCTAGAAACTCTTGATCCTCAACATCGTTTTTCCGAGGTGAAAATGAAGGATACGCGTTACCTTTCTTATTATGAGATGAGGTCACGTTATTCTTAACTCCGGTTTGTAAACGTGCGCGTGTGTTAGCGTATTTTATTTTATCAATACCGGGATTCGATTGTCTCCTATAATCTTCTAAGTTTGAATTGGCCTTTTCATTGTAATGATATTGCGATTCGTTTAAAGCTACCGAGTCGTTAAGAATATTAATTGAATGGCTACTTACTACTTGCTGTTTGAATTCTATTTTGGGAAGACCTAAAAAAAATTGAATGTTATAAAAATTTTTTTGAAGACAAGAATATATTGATCAAATTATAGATTTTATACTTGAAATTTTTTCGATTTGATAAATATTCCCAGGGAATTAGGAGAAAGAGAAACATAACTAAATTTTATATTCAATATTATAACCAAATCAAATTATTAATTAGTTGCGCATTACTTTCTAAAATAACATATTCTGATTCGGGTTGAGATTTTTTGATTTCGCTTAAAGGATCCAATGCTTGTGAGCCAAGATAATCATCTGATTTCGAGTCTTCTTGAAGGTCACTTTCTGATTCTTCTTCTTCGTAAGTTTGCTCCTCATTTGGTTCTTCGTACCTTTGAGGCACTGTTTCAGAAACGTATTTCATATTACCTTGAGTAGTGACATCATTAGGAATATTAGAGTGATCATAAACGTGTCTTGACATGGATACCCTTTGATTGTTGGGTATCAGCTCGTTTCCGCCAATGTTTATCCTGTTTTTTTGTTTATCGTGGTAACCAGTATAATAATATCCCATGGGATTGTAGTAATATGGATTATTGTAATATTTGTCATCCAGGTTCTCTGGCGCATCTGGAATGGGTACCCCTTCATATGGGCCTCGCTGAGTTCTATCCATTTCTTCGTATCTGTGATCGTTGGTATAATATTGAGTATCATTGCTGTAATATTGAGGTTCGTCTACCTTTTGAGGAATCTTATGGAGAATTGGATCGGGAGGGGAAATCCTACGAATCGTTGTTATTTCTGGGTTTATTCTATTCCTTCCAAAGGTGTCTAACATGGCTGATTTGTGTGTTACTTTGGTAAACGACCCTTTGGTGAGTAAAATCATTTTAACGATTTGTGTTGTAGGTATAATTGTCTCATTTATGGTTAATATTTTGCTGGAATTATCAGGTATTTCTGGTTTTTTTGTCTTAGATAATATATTTTTCTTTGGGAGAACACGTTTGATACTTCTAAATAAAAAATGATTTGTAGTTATAAATTTATACTAAATTAGTTCGAATATCAAACAAAACAAAAAAAATCAATCTGAAATTATTATGTTGTAACAGTTTTTTAGCAAATAGTTTGAGGTTTTATCAAATTAATTTTTAATTGGATAATATGTTTAAGATTAAATAAGTGTCTAAAGTAAGGAGTAAGATTAAAGGTTAATGGTTAGGGCAAATTAAAGGTTTGAAATGAATTTTAATAAAATTTTATCATTTTTTTTATTAGTAATTTGTTAAATCTTACAGGTCATGTAATTATAAATAGACGAATAAAAATGTAAATAAATCAGCTGTTGTAAAGGCAAGAGTTGGACCAAAATCAGAGCAAGCCCATCATATGAAATGAATTTCACGCAATTTTGACATAAAATTTTAGTGCATTAATTCAAATTTGACAATATGAACTAATGAATCTATAATATAAAAATTTAATAAAATTAAGAGTGGTTTGCTATAACTCCTACGACACATAATATTGTTTTGTCTTATAATATAATATAATTACTTTGTGTTAACAAGAATAGTTGGTGTAGATGGGTCAACAGATTCTATAGCAAAATTTGTCAAACTTTTCTTTTTAAGGCCCTGATCTTTTGGTTTTGCTTTTGCGAAAACTTTCGATGGTGTTTGTTTTGGTAGAATTTTAGTGACTGAAGTTGTGGGTATAGTAGTAGAAGTAGTAGTAATAGTAGTAACTATGAAATATTTATTTTATAAAAATAATTTTAAAGTCTTGAGATATAATATCAGAGAACTGCAGGCCCGGTTCTAAACTCGTCCCGTGTACCTGTTAATTTTTTTTTAAATACTCGGGCCAGGCCGAAATTTTTTTTTAAAAAAAATCCGGGTCGGATCGTGCAAATGGTACCTCTACAGCTCTGATAAATATATCATTTAACCCCATTACTTTTTATATTCTTCACGCTTTTGACTTTTTTCGCGATATTCTTTATGACCTCCTTTTTATGCATTGTAGAAGATGGCACAGATGTAGTAGTTGTTTTACTAGAAATCGAAGAGGGATTCGATAATACGGATTTAGATGTTACAGTTGTACGATTATAAAATGTGAATATAGAGGAGTTGGTGGTCTGTGAATCGTTGATTTTCTCATCCTGATAAGGATCATAAGATTTCCCGGTATCACAATCAACCTCGTAACCTTTGTTATTTATTATTGTTATCTTAATTATAATATTAATTTTCAATCAATTTTTATAAATCAATTTTTTTATCTAAACTTTTATTTATTGATATATTGATAAAAAGCTTCTGCAGAAACGGGAGGGAGGAGGTACTGTTGTTAAAAGATTCGATTTGAGCCGAATTTTAAAACGGCTAACTCAATAATTTATCTAGAAAAAATATTACACAAGCCTTAAGAATTTGCTCATAGATGGCACAATCAAAGCTTTGGATATCTATTAAAAAAATATCAAGAGTTAGGCAATATTTTTCTGACTTTAATATTGAATTTTCCATTTTTAAAAATTGGCTCAAATCGATCGATTTAACAAAACTGGGGGAAGGGGGGGGGGAGTAATTTGCCTCCAAATTTTTATTTCTCATGAAGTCGTTGATTGATATGCTTAAGATATGTTTTAAAAAGTTGTCTCGGTAGGTAAATAGCCATACCGATGAAAAATATTTTAATTTGTTTTTTAAAAAAAAAATATACACCATTTTAAAATTAAATTCTATTAACCTAACCCTTAGCACATATCTGTGTTTTGGAATAAATCAAGAAAAACAAGCCAATTTTTTTTTATTTTGCTGAAACGATTTCACTGAAAAGAAAACCTCTGTTTAATATCAATTTCAGCGAGGAAAAGATATTTGCCATGATCGAAAATCCTATCCCGGATTTAGAAAAAATTAATCCAAACATCATAGGTGAAGACAATATTTACCTGGTATTTAAAAATTTATATATAAACTTTTATATATCTACTAGGATATGGAGGAGTTCAAGGTGTACTAGAATCGTTAAAATATTAATATTTAGAGCATTTTTTTTTATTTTTGAAAGACTAGATTTTGTTATAATTTATTTTCAACATGGTGCATACTGCATTATATACCGACCTTATAAAACATTTTATCATGAAATTTTAGGTAGTACCAAAATCGATATCAAAAAAATTGACCTAAATCAAATCGGATTTAAAATATGAGGTCAAAATTGTCGGAAATTAAATAGGGTAGGTATACTAGGGTTGTTAAAAATAACCCGATTCGGTCGATTTTTAAAAACGATCCGATTAAAATTTTAGCCAAAATAAAATTATGTAAGCCTGGAGATTTTAGAAAGGCTTGAACCTATATATCATTTTGGCTAAAATCTAAGCCATTAGTTTTTAAAAATTGACGCGGTCGGGCAAAATTAAGTCTTAAAAATTTTTTTAAAATGCTCGCTAGAAATTGTTTCAATTTTGAAAATCCCCCCCATCTCCTGATAATGCAAGGCCGGATTGGATTACATTAAATTTCTTAATTATTCTACGATATATATATGCTATTATCGAATTGTTAGTCGTTGTTTATGAAGCTACATTTTTCAGTAAATATATAGTTATATGTGTTATTCTACGACACATCGAATTGTTAGTCGTTGTTTATGATGCTACATATTTCAGTAAATATATAGTTATATGCGTAGAGCGAGATATTGATGTGTATAGCCTATATAACTGCTTCTCATTATTCTATAATTTACCTCACTTAGGTCTGCTATAAGGAAAAAAATTGATAAAAAAGTGAAAACCTTTATCATCGTAGAAAACGGCATAGCATCCCCCGCAAGGATAAGGAACACAATGAGCTTTTTCATTCATCTTGCATTTCAAGAGCTTACAGGGGTTAAGGCGGCATCTAACTTCCATAACTCCTACGGGACAATTTTGATCTAATGATTAATGAATGGTTACAAATTATTTTCAAAAAATTAATTTATTTTTTCGGAGAAATGTAAACATGATATGGAAATCCCATAACAGAATGAAAGGATCTTAAAGTAGAGCTATGCCTATTCTATGGAACGAACCCGTTACTGACAAAAAATTTATCGGGACAGTTAGATAGGAAATTTGTATTCGGGCCATCTATAATTTTTGAGCAATTATATGTTGGTTGTAATAACTGAGTTCTGTAAAAATATCGTTTATAATCTGTATATTTTTTTAGGGATTATTACATTGACGTCAAAATGGAGAAAGGAAAGTGGGTACTTTGAACTTCTAAGATAAAAATTAGCTCCCTCTTAAAAAAATTATTTTTTGAAAACTCCCCTCAGTTCGATAAAATTTTTATTATCCCCTACTTATTACAAAACAAAAATGGCATTTTTATTATTTTATAGGCATCCCATAATTTTTTTAAAAAAGAAAATTTCAAGCTCCCCTAAAAAAGTTTAAAAAAGTTCACTGAGGTATATTTCTTATTTCAGAAATATATACTATTATCCAATAGTTTAAAAATTATTGATGTTAGATCTTTTTTTTCGTAAAAAAAAAGTCAAGGCGGGGTTTTAATTTCATTTTATTTATATATATTCGTCATATTTTGTTATAAATACTTCGTCTTAGCTCGACTTAAAATTAGTTTATGATATTTTTTCCCAACCGAATTAATTCTTTTGTCAAAATGACATTGTATTATGTATTAATAATACTTGACTGATGATTCATACATTAAAAATTTGTAGGTGTCGCTGAATACAAATCAGCTGACGATTCGCCATTTTGGTTTTTCAATAAAAGAATTATTATAAATATATATTTTTTAAATGTTTCCATATTATTTTGAATGCAAATTATTTACAAGGGAAATCAAAATGGCGTACCACCAGCTGATTTTGTTAGATACAAAGATTTTAATTAACGAATTGCCTGGCAGTATTATATGCCATTATTCCAGAATACTCAATTAATTTAACCTGACAAATATTAGTATATTTTTCAAACCATTTTTTAAACGATAAATAATGATTCCAAAATTTTGGTTATCTTATCACCTAGTAATGTGTTTTTAGAGCCTTTGCCTTAAATTCGCAGATAGGGTGAATTCGAGACTAAATATACAAAACTGGCAACGAAGAATACAAAAATACAGAATATTTTATATAATTGCCGCGAATTCGTGCAAACTGCGAATGCAGGGTTATACTCCATTCTCCACTTTATTCTTTATTTTAAGATAATTACGCTTTAGAAAGTTATAAACGTAATTTTACGATAATTCGCTTTAATGTATTTTGGACGAGTTACATTTGATTGACATAAATTAAGAAATAATTTTGCGAGAAATTTCGTAGCGAATAACATTGAGCTAGGAACGAGGTATATATTTTATCGTCAATGTGTTTTTTTCAGGCAATGTGTTATTCTTATAACTTTAAATCATTTTTTGAGCCCGTTTTTTTTAAATTTATAAATCTGATTTTACCGGAAATGTATGCCGTCATGTTTGGAATACCTACATTATGAATTTCAGACAATTTTCCTATAAAAACTTTTAAATTTAATATAATTTATATTAGATTTTCCATATTTAAAAATCGGATTTTACCAGAAATATATTCTATAATGTTTCAAATGTCTATCTTATGAATTGTAGACACTTTCGCTATAAACCTTTGAGTTATTTATAATTTATATAAAAAATATATGGAAAATTTAATATAAATTATATTAAGTTTAAAAGTTCATAGGAAAATTGTCTGAAAATAGGTATCCAAATATGAATGCATACATTTCCGTAAAATCAGATTTGTAAATTTAAAAAACGTGCTCAAAAAATGATATAAAGTCGAAAAAAATAACACATTGCCGGAAAAAAACACATTAACGCTAACATATATAATTAAAGTAAATATTTTTTTTTGTAAGAATTTGATTTAGAATTAGAAATAAAATGAATAAATCTATTTTGTTAACACTATGTTACAAAGCTGTTTTTTTTTAACTTTTACTTTCTTAGCTTTAATCTATTTTTGAAGCAGCTATCCTAAATTTGACGTATGACGTTCCATCAGAATTAAATTAGAGCTAACGGAAAAGTACAAGTTAAAAGAAAAATGAACTTTGGGAAAAGGGTAACATACTAATTTCACTGTATTTTGGAAGTTCCTCCTTACAGTCCACCACGGTCCCTTCTTCGTCATAATATTCGGGTAAACAATTTCCGCATATTTTTCTTCTGCATTTCGCGTTCGGGTAAGCCTCGCATTCTGATTTTCGGCAAGGATCCATTAAGCAAAACGAGGGTTGAACACCGCTTGGACACGTTATCCCTCCTATTATCCGAACGTTCCCTATTTATATAATAAATTAAACAATAAGCATCTTTATCTTTTTGAATCGAAATTACTTACTAAAGATATTTATATCGTATGTGACACGCTGGACGGTTGAATAAATTTCATCCTTGTAAGTGAGAGGTAAATTATGAATCAAGCAAAGTAATAAGTAACAAAAAAATTCATGAAACTTTTTCATGATTCAATTTACCCTCAAATCACCACGATTTCCTGAAATTAATAATCACAATACTGGGAAACTAGAATCTCATGAGTTGCAATAACATAGCTCACTCACCAAATTTTAATGACACCCTATTTAGATACCTTAGAACAGTATTTATTTTCTTATTTTATATTTTAATAATTATTTAATAAAATTACAGAAATTATTACACGCATTTTACTAAATAAGTAATCAGAAATTTATTTGTCCTTATTTTGTAGACAAAATCGAATTTCCATTTTATTTTGATAAAAAAACAGGAAATGAGTTTTCTCTTATTTTTTTTTCTTTCAATTTTTAGGCCAGAACCCGACCTACCTAAAATATTTTTAAAGTTTTCGATTTTAATCCGGCCCTGCTTCAGGCGGCCCACTTCCAGGGCTTTACAATTGCGCTATCCTCTACTCCCGCCCATTCTCTCTGATAACTAAAAGTTAAAATGGATACTAGCTATGTATGTTGACTAAGAAAGTTACCACACCCCCGAAATTTTAAGGATGCAATGTCTCGTATTTCCCTCCCATCTGGTGTTATAGGGCTCTGATTCGCCTTCGACTATATTATTGTTTAGTTAAGGAAAGGAAATGAAAGGAAAGGGTCTTTTTAATGTATGTATAAATTTTTTAAAAAATGGAAAAACCGGTTCTCAGACCTTTTTAAAAATCAGCACTCCTATAAGATAAGAGCTAAAGCCACAACACTGCCATTAGGCAACTTTCCTTCTTTATCCTTTTAACCAGAGCTCATGAATCATTTGGTAAAAAAGTTGCGGTTCGTGGCAAGCAAAAACCAATTATAAAGGTTACGGGAATTAATTTTTTTGAAGTTTATTCTTGATATTGAAATGTTTAATGTTTAGCGAAATTTGAAAAAAAAAATATCAGTGTTTATAAAATAAATAAAAACTTAAAAAATACATGTGATTGGAAATATATATTTTTTTTTTAAAAATGGAAATAATTTATCCCTTAGTAACCTCTGAAAGGAAAATAGAATGTATCAATTTTTTAAAAGTAGCTTAAAATCTAGATACTTTTTTAAATCGGTTTTAAAACGTTAAATAAAAATTCTATTCAGTCCTGTTCTTTTAAATATTCGTACAACGGTTGAGTTACGGTTTAGAAAATTAAAATCGCTCATTCCCCGTTTATCTGTTTGATTCACTCCGAATCCCTTTTTAGAAAACCTTCTAACCCTCTCACTCTCTGTAATATCTTTTTTTTTGTTCGCCGTTCATTAAACCCAACACATTAATCTTTTATTAAAATTATACCATTACATATATTTATTACAATAAATATTAATGTATTATATTTAAAATTTGAAAAAAAAATACAACATCAACCTGTGATATGTGACCTGATATGAATTAACAAAAAAAAATATTATAATAATAATAATATAAATTTTATATATGGAAAAAAAAAGTTTTTTTTTTATCAAGTATCGTATATATGTCATATATCGGTATTCTGCATGGTATTTATTTGAAAAGTTATTATAAATAATTAAAATAAATATACAACAATGCATGGATTTTATGAACTCTTTTAAAAATAATAACACTTTATATATATAATAATGTATATTTATAGGAAAATAAGATATACAATACAATATCTACTCAAAACGGAAACAATTTTCACGGAGTGAAAACAGATTTTTTTTTTTTAAATGAACTAACTTTTATAATTTATCGAATTATAGCCGAACAAAACAGTTATAATTTATATAATCTGGTCAAACCCGAAAACCGTTTCGTTTTTAAATATTTAATTACATTTTAAAAAACCCAATACCTTTTTTGTTAAATTGAGATATTTTACTTTTCCTTGGGGAGGGAGTCACTAAACTTCAAGAACCTGCATTATACATACGGTTTGGGTCTATGGTATATAACAATTAAACTTCTTATTAGACCAAATATTACGAAAAAAAATATTATATAAATTTAGGTCTTTTGTGACATTCATTATGTTTAGGGGTTATTGACCAAGGAATATTATAGCTTTAACTCCAACTTAGTCTTAAATAAGGTTATCTATTGTGTCATTTAAATATTTAGCCAAATAATCAATACCTATGTTATGGTGATGAGCTCAATGTCATTGACTGGGGGGGGGGGGTGTAAAGATCTCTAGTTCTAAAAGGTAGAAATTAGCGATCAATTCAAGGGTATGGCTATAAAATATCAGCCACATATAGACCCAGCCTTTTTAACAAATCACGGCAGTGGAGACAAAGCCTCAGTTAGACCAATTTCAATTAGAGCTAATGTATTAATAAAATTGGTTATCATATTCCATTTACTCATTGATATATTAATTTTTAAAAAGGTATAAAATAATTTTTCTGAAAGGAAAGATATACGAAAATGGCGTCAATCATTATTCTTAATCCGACCTTTCATACTTAACCTAATCTAGGAGAAAAAAATTGAAGGCCAGGTTTGGGGTGTTACGTTATTTATGGGAAATTTTAAAACCTATAAACATTTCTGTGAAGAGAAGAAAAAAAACTATATAACTGTTATATGTAAATCGAAATTATTTTTTCAAACCTTTATTTAGAACATCCTGTAAGGAATAGGTTACCAAGATGATGGAATTTATCTAGAATAAAGTTTTAAATATAATATCATTTTGATAAAATAAGTATAATGTGTGCTCATTTGGGGACGAACGAGTGCTTAATAAATATCATTTTTGTTAATGACGATGAGATCTTGTTAGATTAATTAACAATTTAAATTATTTTTGTTTTTATATATTTTTTTTTATTACCTTTAAGAATAACAAAGTGGAAAAACTTTTCATTTTTTATGTGTTATACGGATTACGAATCTTGTTAATTTATAAATGCAATAGTATATTTAAAAATCACAGTTAAAATTCAAGGAAAATATAATGCATCCAAAATATTGATGATTTGTTGGGATCAAGATTTAAAGGGAACTTCCTTTGGCGTCAGATTATATATTTTTTAATTAAAAAATTATAATATTTTTAAAATTTTAAATAAATTTACTTAATTTATATTTTAAAAAATATTCTTAATTTTATTTTAAAATATTAATTATTTTTAAGTTTCTATATTTCTAACAATAAAAATATGATAAAAACGTGATAAAAAACATAGAAATAACAGCATAATAATAAAATTAAAAGAATATATAAAATAGGGTCAAAATGATAAAAATTTTTTTTTAAATATAATTAAATTATTTATATAACTTACTTTATGTTATATTATATTATATTACATATGGTGTTGGATTGGGAAGAAAGGATTAAAGAAAAGAAATAAAGAAGGGGTTTATTTATTTTTTTTAGATGTCAAGCGATTTTAATGTTACATTCATTATTATAAATTAGACAAATATCGATTTTCATAAAATATAAAATAATGAAAGTTTAAAAAAACTCTGCCAATATATTATGAAAATGTAGAAGAGGAATGTGATGTGATCACTCAGGAATACATTTAAAACGTCAAGCACCTATAAGAACATATTTTGATACATTTGTTGTATATCTATTTATTTATTTTTAAATACGATGATCCAGTTCCAGGATCTTTAAATAGGTTCTTAGGTTAATTTTTTCAAAATTTTTAAAGTTGAGAATTAATCAAATTTATATCCTTATCATTGATAGAAGATTATTACGGGCTACATAAAACTTGTATATAATTATGTTATTTGTCAGACCGGGTAAACCTTTTCGAGCCGAAAAAGAAAAACTTGGTTAAAAATTTTCACATGTTGGCCCCTCTTAGTAGTGTTATATACTAAGCAATATGCAGAGACTACATTTCTCTTTCTTTGACATAGATGTCAAAAAGAGAAGTTAGTAGAAGAGTATTAGTGTAAAATGTGATTTTATATATTTGTGAATGTCATACATTGAAAGTTTTATTAAGAATAACAATATATATTATAATATATTAGTTTTTGAATGTAATTTAGGGGTTATAGTTGAGCCAATTCATCGTTCCACTATTGAGTTGTTATGTATCATTATATCGAATAATTCCATGCTAAATCTCTTCATTCGGTATTCTATATTTTTCGAGAATTTAATTTAGTTAATCTAAGGGTAAGTATGTTAGGGTAGATGACATTTTACTGCAGAAAACCGGACGACTACACATATAAGCTACTTAAGACGAGTGCATATCTAGAGACTTTTTTTATGTTATTAAAGACCAGCATGTCGTGGCTATTAGAGTTATAACGATATCATATCAATTAATAGAATAGTAGTTCCTTAAGACTGGTGTGGTTAGTACTTACTTTGACTACTAAGAGCTGCTTGATTTTATCATAAGATGTTGAGAATTCCTTGTCAATACTGTAAGCAATACCTATTGTAGATCTGACTCATGCATCCATCATGTACAATAGGTTAGGGAAAATTTATTGAAGAAGTTGTTAATAGAGTCTGATAATACAGCTTTCACGTAGGCTTTTATGAATTGCCATAGCTTTATTTATAAGTTCTAATTTGTTTAATATTGCCACTTTTGGGTTATTGTGGAAGTTAGTGATATCAGGTATTACAGAATAATTATTAAGCTTTAGAGTATATGGCTTATACTCGTTTTGTAAAGCATATAAGGGATATAATGCCCCCATATGGGGGGATTTTTTATATTGACGCAAATTTATCGAATAATTCCAAAATGTTCTCTATATATAAAATGAAGAAACAAAAATATAACAAGCCTCGTGGAGAGAATCACCCTTGGGGATCTTGTCATCCGATACAAATTTAACACGCTAGATTAACTAATGTGTTTAACACATTAAATCGTCAGGCATTAATGAAAAGATATTTAGAGAAATACTCAGATTATTATAATTACATACAATCAAGCTATGGTTAATCAACTATCCTATATTTCAAAAAACAATCAATAATATCCTCTCAGGGGCTCCTACAGGAAGGTCCATTAGGCTCATCTCAATTTTGTCTAGTTATAAATATAACACTTCAAGACATTCATAATAATACTGATGAACCTCACTGTCTGATATTTAGATAATGCTATTTCTGGCTCTTATTTGTTGAACTGACTAACTTTATTTCTGGCGATTTGCTGTAACTATCTATAATTATTATATTAATCATAATTTTCCTTGAAAAGGTCCTGCAAAATTAAAATGTAGTCCTTTCCATGGTCCCCCTTATTAGTCCAAGTTGGACTAATCGGTTTTTTTAAGTTCCATAACTATTATGTTACATTTTTCTATAAATATTTCAATATCATTATTTACTGCTAGCCACCATACATGTTCGAAGGCTAGTTTTTATCCTAGTCGTTCCCGGATCCTTGATGAGAAATTTTAATACCACTTCTTTTATAACACCTTTGGAACGATCACTCGTAAACCGCTATAAAGGCACCCTTCCTCTTTTATAATTTATCCCTTTTTTAAAAAATGCATATTTTCTTCTATATTCTTAAGCTAACCTTCTGTTACATATCTATTCTTGACAATTATGAATCATTGGCTGCTTTTTCTAACTACTATATTTGATATAGCTTTTAATTGATCGCATACCATGTTGTAGATGTCTGGCAATTGTTCCCATTTACTTATTTGTTCATCAGTTAATGGTAGTCTCGATAGCATGTAACATATCTCGTATCTCCTTGTTCTTCTTAAAGATAAAGAATAATCAGAATTAGCTAAAAATAATGACCATTGGATTAATCTGGTAGACATGTCACTCTGGTTCTTTATAAGACTAAATAAAGATATTAGTTCTTTGTGATCAGAAATAATTAAAAATTCATTATCTACTAATAGTGATTTATATTTTGGACCAAAAAATAATCGATAGCGCATTTTTTCACTTGACTATATATTTTTTATCAGGCGATAACGTGCCTGACACGAAAGCGATTTGTTTATCGTGGAAAAATTTAATATATATTTATGGTAATAATTTAATTTCTAAAAAACAACTTTCTTTTATTTTTTGACGTCTGGGTGATCACGTTATTGCATATATGTTTGTACCTCGAGTATGGAAAAAAAAATGCTCTAACTTCTTATTATTGGATAAATCAATTCACAGTTAGGTCTTTTTTTTTCATTGCAAATTTTTTATTTTTTAAAAATCGGTTTCAAATTTAGATTAAATGCCAAAAGAACCATATCAATTAAAATATATTTAAAAATAAACAAATTAAGATATATAAAAAATTACATAAAAAAATATATATTTTATAAAGAAAAACATTAAAAAGAACTAAAAAAAATATTAAAAAGGTATATAACACCCTAGAGAAAAGTGAATACAAACCAGCAGATTTAGAGAAATCGGCTGATGAAGGTAAAATCTTTCATTAGGGTCCCCTGTGATTTTTCTCATTTTTTTCCTATGGGTTTAATGAAATTAAGGGCCCCACTCCGAAAATGTTCAATGTAATATGAACTCCGTGTTGGTGAGGCCAGCATATTTTTTTTAGGACTTCTGCCTTTACGATGGAAGAAAATAGAGATTGAATTGCAATTGATACAAGTATCCAAGTCAGTGGGAGAACGTTAGTCCAGGTAATGAGGAATATACCATCGGGGCATATGTTGTTTTTATTTGAAAGGCCCCTCGAGTGTGGATGGGATATAAACTTTTTTGAGGGCAGCTAGAAGAATGTTGTTGATGGATTTATGGCGGAATTGTGGTCCGCAAGAGAACTAGCAGTGCAAGGGATGGTAAGAATTTGTTTCGATGGGATGACCACAATCGATGCAAATGGAGGGTACTACAGCATTAAAGTCTAGGCGAAGGTTTATAGATATACGTAGCTGATTACCAGTCACGAGGAGCCATGATTAGACTGGGGATGGCTTCCAACCATTTGTAGCCTGAGTTTGCATTTGATATTATGTTATTGGGATTTTCCTCAAAGAGCCTGTTTGAATTGAGGTATTCAACGAAACGGGCGATTAAAGAAGCATCCCAGTCTTTTTGAATGCTGGAGGCAGGTCGACAGTGCTGCTGTCCCAAAGTAAGACCTGGGATAGGGATAGGTCAGAATCTATAGGGGTGGATACATTATTGATGACAATTTGAGCAGCTAGGCGAGATGAGATAAAGGCTGAAAGAGAAAGTTGAATACCAATACCACCTGATTTGCTCTGGAGGGTGGCTTGAAGCCAGGATGAATCGAAAAATTTTATGTTCAATTTTTCGAGGAGACTCTTGATTTAAATTATATAAGAAACTAGCAAATCACTGAATTTGTAGATCGATGCGGATCTCATGGTGTAGAGAATTTTGATTATATTAAAGTGGTTTTTGCTTAAAAGGAGGATTGACGAGCAGGGTGGTAATTAAATAATATGGTTAATTTAGACAAATTGTTGAGGGATTTGTTTAAAGAGTTTCGCTAGCCACAACTCCTATCGGTGATCCAAGATGTGTCATTTCACCCCTAATGACATGTATGTGGTGCTTAAAGTAATGGATGTAGGAAGCAAATCTCACATTTGAGGCGATTGAGTGATAGTCCTGTAATCCACGATAATGGTCGGGATAAAATTTTGGAGATTACCCGCAATTAGGGCTGGGAACCAATAGTAAAAACCAAATATTAACAAAATATTGTATTGGTATTGGGTCTAAAATATTGGTATTGGTTTAAACAATATTTTCTATTTCTTGTATTGGTATTGCTATTGGTATTGGTTTATATTGGTAACTATTGGTTTATATTGGTAACTATTGGTTTATATTGGTTTATATTGGTAACTATTGGTTTATATTGGTATTGGTTTAAATTCAAATTACTAATTAAAAGAATAGAAATAGTGATTATAAAACCCTTAATTTCTAATTTTAAATAAACATGGGAAAAAAAATCATGATACCATAAAATCAGGGCTGAGAACCAACTCTCAAAATTTTACTGAATTCAAATTCTTTTTTTAAACTTGGAATTTATTAGGTGATGTGAATATAAAAAATTTTGATTTAATCATGTATTTTTTGTATCAACAATAATAAACGTATTGATTTTGAACCATTTTATTTATCACAAAGAACATAGCAAAATAAGTAAACTAAAAATGTAACATAACTGTCTATTTATACAAAATATAATGCAAAAGAATGATATAATTTTAATATATGAAGAGGAAATAATTTTATGTATTTAAGAAGAATCTTGCATGCGCATCCAATTTTTTAGGCACAGGCAAGCTTGTATAGTATGCTCATCTAGTGAACAACGTTGGTCTGTTATAACATACCGTCCTTCTGAAAAAGCCCTTTC